AATCGGGATAGTCTCGACTTCGGCCAATGACGACACAACCTCGACAAGGCCTTTCAACTTCGTACGCTCCTTGAGAGACAATGTGTACACCTCGACCGTCACATCTGGCGAGCGGATAAGCCACTGGGTGACTTCCAAATGATGGGCACTTTCATGAGATATTGTAGTAGACAGCGATCATTCCAAGATTGAGCGCCGACACGTCCATTTCGTCCTCTGGAGAAAGGATCAGACAGATTAGCAGGAAAAAAGGCAGAAACCTACCAATTGCGATACATTTTGAATTCACGAGATCACTCAAAGTGTTCTCTACAAGTTCTGAAAGGTGTTCGGATAGATGCTGATGGCTGACATTGTGCAGATTGTAATAGTTCGGGTTTTGAGTCATTCGGCGGTAGAAGTAAGTCCAAATGAGGATATCCTGAGGGATAGAACGTAAACACAATGAAGAAACATGATCGGGAGTTGCTTACCATAGCATCTTGCTTGTTCTCAATGGTTTTGACTGCGATCTCCGCGAGGAAGTAGTCATGGAGGAGATGGGTCGGGAGATGTGACTCAATTGGAAGCCCTTCGGCAAGGAACTTTTTGTAAAAGTCCTTACGTGTTTGCTGGCACATGAGAACACATCGACTGCGCTCATCTTCCGTTGGCCGACAAGCGCGGCCCATCATTTGGAGAACGTCCATGACCGGATAGTCGATGTAACGATGCTCCTTGCCCTCATAGAACTGAACGCCCATGATGATCACCATGTTACTTGCCACCGGCAAGCTCCAAGCCGTGTCTTTCGATGCAACAAGCAGTTGGATAGCTCCTGACTCAAACAGGCGCTGAACGATCCGTTTGTCCTGCTTATCGAAAGCCTCGTGGTAGTACCCGATACCGTGTTTGAGCGTTTCAACGAGGTCCTTGTCGCTGATGTGGTCCAGGTGAGGTTGTAAGTCGTCAAGCTCGATGTTGAGGAACCGATCAGGTTTATCGTCCGCTAGGCAGTGAGTCAGAAGGTCGTCGACCCTAAGGCGGCACTATCGCCTGGAGGGAACAAAAACGATGACGGGTTTTGAGGGGGAGTACTCCAGAACAGCGAAGTAAGCAGGCTTTGACATGGCGATCATCAGGGAGGGGAAACGAGGGATGGTGAAGGACTGGAGATGTATATCCATGTCGAGGGGACGGGCACTAGTAACAGCATCAGTACGTAGCCTTCGAGGAGCAACGGAAGAGGAATACCTTGGTGAAAAGTTAAAGATCGCGTGAGAAGGTGCACCCATCCACTCGCCCAGATCTCGGGCGTTCGCAAGAGAGACTCCACAAGCGACTATGCGTGTCTTGATTTCTGTCTGCGCTGAGACATAACGCGTGCGGGAAATGACGACCTCGTAGTGGGTCCCACTTCACCGCCGACCAACTGCACCTCATCAGCAATAAGACCGATATTTTGAATGTTTTTGCGTTGTCGCCACCATCGTGAAAGGATGTCCTGTTGATAAGTGAGAAAAAACCTGAAAGAAAAATGGAAAGATCTGACGAACCTGCGTTGGTGTGCAGACAATGACGTCTCCTTTCTCCAGAAGCCTCAGATCAGCGCTTGTCTCTCCTGTGAGACTGACAATCTCCTTCCCGCCTTGAAGCTTTTCGAACTTGGCCCGCCAATCCACAACTCGTTGATCAACCATTTCTTGATATGACTCAATACAAACCGCTCGGAGTTGCTCTCTCTTACTCCAGAGACGAAGGAGAGCAAATTCTGCGCAGATTGTCTTGCCGCTACCGGTAGGCGCACCAATGAAAACATTTTCGTCTGTCGTATAAAGAGCTTGGAAAACCTGGGTTTGGATCTTGTTGAAGGTTTGGATCGTCGAGGAGTAGAGTGCTTCGAATTCCTTGTTGTGCAAGGCGGAAAGAGGTAGGGCCTGTAGGTCGAGAAGCGGGGTAGGAGGAGGGAACTTTTCGGGCAAAATAAGATGTTTGAAAACAATGGGAAGCCGAGTTTTGGCGTGAGGCCAGCGATCCGAGATGATGGAGATGTAGTAGTTGGGCAGGACGGGTTGAACATGGGCACAGTAAGAGTAACGTTATGTTCATCTTCCGCGTATCGTTGACGAAGGATGAACGAGTCATGGAAGAGTATCACTCTCCATCCACATCTTCGACCACGATAAGGAAGGTCTCCGCCGTACCGTGAAATTTTTCATCCCATCGAAAATCAGGTATGATAGAAAGGTCGATTCGAAGAAGCGACCGAGTGATGGGTTAGACTTGCGCCTGTAGCCCAAAGCAAGTTCGTCAACGAGATACCCGAAAAAGTCAGACATCAATCAGAACTTACTGAAGCTTCGGGAAACTGTGGACGAGACGGTGCACCAACCGCCCAGCGTTAGGGATCCCGATGAGTTCACCAATCTCAGGAGGTGTCTAAAAAACTTTGGGCGGCGCAGCCAGAAACGAAGTTGACGAAGCGTACCAGATCAAAGTAACGGTACCAAGGCTATGAAAGACGGGCATTGTTAGCAACGAAACGAAAGGGGAACAAATATCACTCACGAATTGTTTGCCTTCTGCCTTTCTTATCACTTCAGCAGGAACACCCTTGAATTGACGAAGAGGCGTCATTGAACCCCACCTGATATACTTGTGAGCGATGGCCAGCTTTAACAACCACAATAACTTACATCCTCTTCTCAACCATCTTGCAAAGGTCGAGAGCTGCTTTAGCAGACGCAGCCCAGCCGCGTTTCAGACATATCTCAAACATAGCCCTCAGGATACTATAGGCAATATAGTGAGCACAAGTCAAGGGACGGGTTTAATCAGTACACACCGCC